TTGGCGGGCTGCGTCTCTGCCGACAGCCTCCTCCGGCTGGAAGAGGAGGAGGAGGTGGAGGAAGGGCGCAGGCTGCGCCGCTGGACTGTGACCCATTGCCGGAGCCCCCTGGGAGAGAGCAGCTTGTCCCTGGCGGGCTGTGACAATGTCACCGAGGTCTACCGGCGTGCCGTGGCCATCAGCATGAAGCTGAGCTGAGGGTACCCTGAGGTGGTGCGTGTTGGGGAGGGGGCTGAGTCCTCCCTGCCCCAGGGCTGCTGGTGCTGCTGAGACACGTCCCAACGTATTTATTTTGCAGCCTCATGCCCCTCGGGGAGGAGCACGGGTGCAGGTGGGGAGGGAGCTGTGGGGGCTGTGGGGCATCGGCGGGGGGATGCCCCAGGGCCAGGACATTAAATGGACCAAAGCCACGGTGATCCAGCCCCCGTGGAGGGGCTGCAGGGTCTCGGAGGCTCCTTGCTGCCGTCCTCCCTTCACAAACAGGGTCATCTCATTTGGGGGGGAAACCAAGGGGTTGGGGGGGTTGGTTTTTTGTTTTTTTTGTTTTTTTTTTTTTTTCCTTTGCACTGTTTTTTGGCTGCACAAGATAACGGATGGGGCAGGTGATATACCTCAAACAAGCTGGAGATGTAGCAGGGTGCTGGCAAGGGGCTGAAAGGTGCTGCCCTGGCTGCTGCCTGCGGGCTGGGCTCTCGGGATGTGCTGGCAACGGGGTCCAAACCGCCCAGGTCCTGGCTCTTCCCTCTCCTGCACTGAGAAACCCAACTGGATCTGGCCAGAACCCCAGTCTGAGAACATGCTCTGCTGTCTTTTTTTTTTTTTTTTTTTTTTTTTTTTAAATTGTTGAGGAAAAAAAAGTGCCTTTGGTGAGGCACCGCTTCTTTATTTATTGCCTTTGTCCGACTTGATGTAGAAGTTCGGCAGCACGGGATATGTCTGGGTCTGTAACGGCCTCCCAGATGTTTTTCACGGGGGGGGAGGAGGTGTCTGTGCCGTTGTATCATGTGCCGCACGTCGAAGCTCTGTTGCACTATTTGCCGTGTATTGGCTGGCCCTTTCCCTTCTCCAGG